TTTATAAGCTATGTCAACGTTAATAATGAAACATTAGGTCTATCAAAATCTCTTCCCAGCTTTTAAATCATTTTTTAATTTAAGATCGACATGGAACTTTCCGCAGACTTTTATTGATTTTCTCTACTTTTGACTTTAAAACAATATTTTTTTCTTTCAAACCGTTTAAATGTGAAAATCAACCAAATCAATTAACAGACAGTAAACTTGTTTCGTACTTAGTAGTACTTTTATGTTTTATCCTCTTTTCCTTATGACCGATCATTGCTTTCCATGTGCTTGACAAATTTTCCATGCAATCTTAAATTATCAAGAAAATTTTTTGATAACTTAAAATTATTGATGCTATTTGCTTATGGCTGACCTGTTTTATTTCAATTCGCGGTTATAGTTAATAAATAAAAATTTTTAACTGTCTGAAATGAATTCATGCAAATTTTATTAAAAAAAGTTTGAGACATAATTAAATCATTTTAGATGAAATAGGAGCTTTTGATAATTTCAAATTATTGGAATTAATAGATATATCACTTGATTTAATTGTCAAAATTTTTTAAATTGCAAATTGAACAGTACGGCTATATTGGTTAATCAGTAAATAAATATTTCAACAAATGGGCTATTAAATTGATAAATTATTATTAATTAACTATGGTATTTGCAACAATGTTTTCACTTAGCTAACGATATGACATGTCAATCACAGTTTCCAGATGACACAAGAAAAGTTTTTTACTACGCTTTATTGAATAGAACATAACTAATTTCAAGAGAAGGTTAGACAATTAAGCATTCACAAACACTTGTCTCTCATTCGAAACTATCTATTATTTTAATTATTCTATTATCTTATCATCATTTCCTTCTTTAAAAGAGAATGATGATAAGAAAGTGATAAAATGTTCCATCTACTGTTCTACTCGTTCGATTTTCCTATTGATTTATCACTTGATCCCGTCCTTGCTTTAATTAGATTCTGTATTTGATGGAGTATTTTTGGATGGTTCCGAAAGCACCTTCACATCACTTTCACTTCCTACTGATAATTGATGAATGTTTCCTTGAGTTTCTCCATACGATGACGATTGCGTTTTTTCCGTTTCAGGAATCCGCAAAATCTTACTAGCCGTCTTTGAAGATGTCTTCTGGGACTTACGATTCTTCGATGTTAATTGCAACTGTGATAGAACTGATTCTTCATGCTCAGATTTTGTTTCATTTATTTGATCAATCGTAGTATTGACAGTACTCAACTGTGTTTTCTCCGCCATCATTACACTCTTTTGACCTTTAACACTGTACTGTGTCAAATCAGCATATCCTTCCATTTGGCTTCCCGTTGGAATTTCGCTGAGTTCTGCAATTCAATTTCATAAACTCTAGATTTTTTTGAAAATTTTAAAATAATTATCTAAATGGAGGAAAATTTTGATAAAGAAAACAATTAGCTGATAGGTCAATCATTATTCATTCTTCAAACGTTTCATTCTGTCTCTTTGGTTTACATTCTTTAAATTATTTCTTTTCAATATTTCAGAAAAAATCACTTTCATAAATTTTACGCTTTTAAAAAATTGATTTGTCTAACATAACGTTATGCGAGAATTACCTTCTTGCGTTCTTAACGGTTGCCTGTCCTGAAAAATTTTTTAGGTAATTAGAAATTTTAATAAATTAT